AAACGCTGTCCCTCGCGTAGATCACATCCGTGCCGGCGTTGGCACTAGAATGATATCCGAGTATCGACCTGATCTCCTTACTAGCTCCCCACTTGGACATCCAAGATAAAAGCGTAGCTTTGCAGGAGTGAGTGCCCACGGCCTTGACCGATGCGACATCCTCGCCTGCACGATAGAGAAGGTGGCGAAGCCACCGCGCTCCAGCCTGCGCAGACATAGGCGCCTTCTGCCATTGGCCACCGTCGGTGGGGGACGGTAGCAGGGGCATGTCAGGCCCCCATGCGGGCCCCGCCCTGCCAGCCACCTCCATCCAAGCCAACGCCCAAGAATCCTGCTCAAGGCCCCATATCGGACTGACCATAGCAAGATATCGGGTTTTACGCTCCAAGTTGTGACTCGTTTTACTCCTGGTGACCCTCGCTTCAAGGTACCCACGCGGTCCGCGCTCACCTTGCACGATGTCTTTCGCCAGCTCACCAGAACACTGCATGTCCGAATAGCGGGCTCTTGCAAACACACAATACAAAAAGCACCCTGCCGCGTATCTATCGACATCCGCACGGACTTCAGGTATAAGTCCCAGCACAATTCGCTCCAAAGCCCGAATCTGTGAAGCCGTCAGCGGCGGCTTCTGTTGCAGCTTTCTCTTCTCCAAGTAGAGCTTCGAAACTGCGCCAGCCAGCCTGCTGCTAACACAATCGGCCGGGACCTTCGCCTCCAAGACATATTGCATGAAGCCAATGGAACTCATAAAGCTGGAGGCAAAGGTAGGCGCAGCCCCACTGCAGTATTCCTTGACGAAGCGATACATCTTCTGCTCGGACAAAGGGAAAGGCTGCTCTCTGATGCGCCAGCAGAATGCCATGTATCTCAGGACCGGGCCAGCCCTGCTGTGAAGCGTACTGCTCGCCTTGAGTGAGAAAACATCTCCTAGAGACTCCTGCAGTGAGGCTGGCAATCCAGCTTCAGCATCTTCCGCCACTCTAGCACAGACCCCAAAGAAGTCGCCACCCTCTTTAGCAATCCGAAGCCACTTCATGACAGCCGCATGTCTGTTATCCGATTGTCTCTGAATCCAGGAAGGCCCAACCTTCCGTGGCAGCTTGCCTCCAGTAGCAGTCAGATTTATAGCCGACGGGCCACTCGGAGCTTTCACAGGAGCAGCAGCCGTATGAGTAAGCACATTCCCAAGACGCCCCCTTCCCAAGAAAGCTCTCGGCAATACACTCGGCACATTCACAATGCTTCTCTCCCAAGGCTGCTTTGAGTTGCTCGTAGAATTCTGGTGCACAACATGAGCAAGATGCCCTTCGAATGCAGCATCAAACGTCCTCTTCTCTGCCATCACGAGAGAAGCTGCCCATGCGCCACTGAGGCGGTACACCAGGGGTTCACGGGCCTGAAACCTGTTTCACACAGCTTGGCCCGGAGCCCGCGTTCTACACAACTCTCTTTTACCCCCCGTACAAACTTTGCTGCACGGAAGGTTCCCGCCCACCCACCCTATGTTTGAGCATGCGCGGAACAACAAGGATTCGTAAAAGTTCAAGTGGAATCTCATGACACATGAAGCGGTTTCGAAAAACTTCTTCAAAACTTTCGAAACCTACCAAAAAGGTTATAAAGCCTTATGGGACTAGTTTGTGATTTTTAGCGTCCCAAAAACGGCTTCATCGACTGTGGGTTGAGGTTCCGGAGTGCCGGCTCCTTTTGCCGGGTGCTCTGTTGCTCCTGTGCCTTTGCTCTGCTTGCCGGCTCCTTTTGCCGGGTGCTGTGTTGCTCCTGTGCCTTTGCTCTGCTTGCCGGCTCCCTTAACGGGGTGCTCCGTTGCTCCTGTGCCTTCGCTCTGCTTGCCGGCTCCCTTTGGGGGGTGATCCGTTGCTCCTGCGCTCTGTTTGCCGGCTCCCTTTGGGGGGTGCTCCGTTGCTCCTGCGCTCTTGGTGGATCCCTTTGCTGCTGTGCCTTTGCCTTGCTTGCCGGATCCCTTGTGTTGCTCCGTTGCTCCTGCGCTCTTGGAGGTTCCTTTCGGCTTGCCTTTGCCGGACCCTTCTCCCTTTAGCTCGCCGCCGCAGCCGCTGGTCCGCGGCATCTTCCAAGCGTCGCCCTCATCGTCTGCATGCTCTGCAGCACGTTTGGGCGCCATGTTGATCGACGAAACCCGCCGGAAAACCTTTGATCCCACACGGCACGGAAAGGCACGCACCCAATCCCGACCCACCGCGGTCGGCTCCGGAGCCAATTTCAAAAGGCACGCAAAGGCACGCTTTTGGGCCCCATATAAGGACGCTGGCACGAAAAGGCACGCAAAGGCACGCTCTCTCCGGACCCCGTCCCGCCCCTCCCGCCGCAGCCCAACGCTCGAGTCGTGCCTTTTCCTGCCTCTTGCCCATGTGTGCACATCCCAACTGGCCCCAAAGCACGCGCACTATCTAGCAGCAGGCCCCCAAATCAGCACAAATCGAAGCATTCATGCAGTCTGCCGATCGATTATACGTGAGTGCATGCATGCAGCACATGGAACACACACACACACACTTCAAGTCTCTTGATCTGTCTCTTTGTCTGTCTGTCTTGTTGTCTGGCTGTCTCTCTGTCTGCAGCAACCAGGCAATAACAGAACTGCTGCCAGCGTCTGGGAACTTTGTTCAACTCGCAGGTTGTAGTCAGATCCAGCTGGCATGCTCTAGCAATAGCTGGCTGCCGTCACAATCAGCAAAGAAGACTGCTTGAGCAGATCTAATTCAGCTATGGTATACTGCGGCACATGTATGCATAAATTGCAACACACGCACACATGTCCGAACAGCCGGCAGTGCGAAGCATTCGCAGAACTCACATGACATTGTCTAATCCACTGTCTGAACTGCACTCGGAGGAGTCATCACCGAAAAGCAGCTCATCATCGGGACGGATCCTTATCTGCAGCTCTTGCGACTGCAAGATCCGGGCCACCTGGCGCAAGAGTACTTTGGGAGAGAGAGAGAGAGAGAGAGAGAGAGAGAGAGAGACAGAAGAGAGAGAGAGGAAGAGGAGAAGAGAGAGACAGAGAGAGAGAGAGAGAGAGAGAGAGAGAGAGAGAGAGAGAGAGAGAGAGAGAGAGAGAGAGAGAGAGAGAGAGAGAGAGAGAGAGAGAGAGAGAGAGAGAGAGAGAGAGAGAGAGAGAGACAGAGAGCTCCAGAGGCATCGGACAGTTCTTATTGACATGTTGAACCGAAGAAGTGACAGCTCGAGCATCAGTTGTCGGTAGATGGCCCGTGCAGTAGAGCCCGCCGCTTATAATGCCACGGAAGCTGAGAAGCTAAGTGCGCTCTGGGTCGTCGTCACTACAGCGGTAGAACAGCTCAATTGCTTGTCGTCAGAGTTACCGAGATTGCGGTTATGGCTGGATAAAGTATCGAGTGAAGTGTGCTCTCTGCGTTCGCGTCTAGAGTCCTTTGAGGAGGACTTGGTGGAGTCATTCTGCGACGTGCACGAGCGCATCGATTTGCTGCACTCGCGTTCTGCTGCCTATAATGATCCCGATGATCTGGGGCCCCAGACTACAGATATTAGCTTGGACACTATGGATTAAGCAGCGGTGCTTTATGCCATCGGAGTCTTGTGATGTACGAGGAGAACATTGGAGAACTGGAGATCATCTGAGGTCGCCCCAGCATATAGTGTGATTCCGTGATACAAACTCTTATGAGCTTGCTCTCCCGCCAACTCAGAACGACTTGCATGATGGTTCTCTATAGCTGTTGTGCCTTGTGATCCTGAATACTAAACTATTTCATGCAATGACTCCCGGCAGAAGTCCGACGGAGCACGTCCCTTCGAAGCAAAACCAAGGGTGCTCCAGAGAGAGAGAGAGCGAGAGAGAGAGAGAGAGAGAGAGATGATGAGCGAGATAGAGAGAGGAGAGAGAGAGGAGAGAGAGAGAGCAGAGAGAGAGAGATGAGAGGAGGAGAGAGAGAGAGGAGAGAGAGAGAGAGAAGAGAGATTGAGAGAGAGCGCGAGAGAGAGAGAGGAGAGAGAGAGAGAGAGAGAGAGAGGAGAGAGAGAGAGAGAGAGAGAGAGAGAGAGAGAGAGAGAGAGAGAGAGAGAGAGAGAGAGAGAGAGAGAGATGAGCAAGAGATCGCCAGTGCAGAGCTAGACCCCCCAAATCATCGCCACCGGAGCCTCGATGCCGAAGCCAGCAGGATAGGCTTTGGAAGCTTCGAGATCTCGACCTCCGGCCTTATAAGGCTAGCCCCAGTGTGATATCATTATAAGACACGGCTAGAGCTTCAAAGCCATATTGCAAGGACCTGATATTCTGCACATGAGACACCGACGCACTTGGACTGCCCCTTGGCATTCTTCCAACGGACGACATTCTGGATTTTCAGGAAGCTTCGAACTCGTCGCAGATGGCACCTGACATATGGCTTAGACTTCTACCACGAAAGGTACCCGATAGGATCTACTGTCGTGGGTTCGTCAAAGTCGAGGTTTCGTGCCCAGCCTGCGTTCTTTGTGCAAGGTCCTCCGAAGCTGTCGGAGCCCTTCCCAATTTCCAACCAACGTGACCTCAGATAAGACAAATTGTCTTGATGTGGCACACAGCTGAATCCCGAACCTCTCAAACACATCTGCCGTCCTGGGGGCAGCCTTAGGGGTTGCCGACCCATAGCATCCCAGGTGTATGGTCACTTTCATGAACTTCATCTTCCGAAGCAGCTTCTCGGTTGCATGCAGACACAAAATGATCCACCACAGCTGGTGCAATTCGAACTGATTGAAATGCTACGATGGAGCGCAACATTCTTTGCCAAAGCTCCCGGAGAGGCACATATCTCCAAAGCAAGGTCGAACTGGGGTTCTCAATGACAAAATTGACCTTTTTGGCCAGTGCATATTTCAGCCTTAGATGAGGATCGCAGTGTTGTGGATCGGTTCTTAATTCGGTGCTACTATATGGTGCTGCTTAGGAGCAAATAGCACATTCGGCGACAGAGGCGGTTGCCCATAGCACATTTGTTGCCCAGGCCTGCAGATGTCGATACACGAAATCCCCCAGCCCCCAGCTGAGATACTGCTATGATGCTGCCGACACTGCTCCTTGCGGTCGCAGCCAAGATCTTCTCGATGATCCCCGCGACCTTGGCCGACCATGCAGAGAGACTCAAGCATTAGGTGGATGAGTTCTTTACACACATAAATACATATACATAGGCGCACAATTGTGTGCCTATGTATATGTATCTATGTGTGTAAATTAATTATGTGTGATATATGTAATGTGCTGGTCCATGCATGCATGTGTAGACGTCAATGTAGCAATATATGTACACACACACATGCATGGTGCAACCACTATTCTTCTTACTGCGGGGAATAGGAGGGTGTGTGTATGTACAAATAGGTCTTCTGTATGTGTGTACATATTTATATACGAGGATTACTGTAAGGAGTTATACATGCATGCCGGTACGGAGCTACTTGTTTTGCTTCGGTGTATTTATGTGCGTGGGGGATTGATCTCGACTAGGTTGCTGCTCTCCCCACCAGAGCTGTAATGAATGTAGGTGTGGCTGGCTTGCACTCTCCACAGACTGGACCCTGTCTCTCTCTCACTTCCACACGTGCAATCCTATGCAGGCAGAACCGGCGGCCGTTCCTTTTGCACTCACTGCCGGCGGCGGCTCGTCTGTGCAACGGGATAGCTCTGATTGCTCAGGATAGAAGACACTTATAGCACTTAGCTATGGGCATTGACTTGAGCCAAACGTTGCGTGGGCGGTCACATAGAAGGGTAAAGACGAGGGACGCGTAGCGTGCCCCCTTAGAGTCGAGGGACGCGTAGCGTGCCCCCTTCTCTTGCACTTTACACGGTCTTGCTCACAGCTCTTATAGTGACACCTTAGAACTTGACAAGGCATCGCAGTCCGTTCGCACCCCCCATGAGTTGAGTCTCCGACGCTGCTCACCCGGAAGATGGCACGATAGGACAACAGAAAATGTTCCGCCGCAACGTTGACATTGAAAATCAGAGCTTTGCATCCCAATTAGAAACGTTGTGACACTCATCTACGTCAGTAACGATCCCCTGAAATGGCAAACGAATCAGGCGTCACCGAAGGAAGAAGCATTCGCGATGGCATTCCATGGGCGAAGCTCAGAGGTCACGAACTGATAGGCGAGGAAGACCAAGCGTTGATTCATCTCCATCTTCGCGTGGTCGCAGGATCGCGGTCCCAGGGCCGGAGGTTTTTCTCTGGATACTGTTCCCGATGCTTTCCCTTGTCCTTGCCTTTGTTTCGGCCTTTGCCGGCGGTGTAGTCGTAGTAGGAGTTGGAGTTCCAGCCTCCATGCTGCTCACCTCCGGTTCTCCCACGCCCTTTTGAAGGTCCCTTGGCCGAAGAAGCGCTTTCACGTTCCTCCGTAGTGACAGGCGTGTCCAGGATGGAAGTACCACATGGAGGGAGATAGTCAGCGGCCGAAATGTGGTGTAGGGCTTCAGTACGCTTGGTCGTCGGGTTTTGCTGTCTCTCAGCCTTGGATCTGTTCAATCTGTCCATTAAATGCGCAGGCATTTGCACATTGTGGTCCACCAGCAATCCGATGGTCTGGACTGAATGATCGGCATGAGTCAGCAGGATACCGACGGGGTCGATGTACAGGAAGTCCACCGGTCCAGTTGGCGTTGGTCGTAGCACTGAGAATTGTTGGTGTCCCGTCACCATCGGAATCACCTCGCACAGGACGTTCAGGCAACAAAAGTGCATAGCCTTCACATCTTCATCCCTTTGGCTCTTCAAGTACGTAGTAGGGTTGAAATTGTCCCTGCCAATTCCCATCATGTTGGCTCCCCGTGTAAGCAACGAAAGCATCTGATTCGTCCGGAAGCGCTTCAAAGTGTAAGTCCCGTTGGGATCGTACTGCTTGAGGTTCTCAGGCTCCTTGCAAAGCGAATGATCTCCTCGTCAGTCACATCCCTGCTCACACCCGTTTCTCTGTCCACTACAGCCAAAGATCCCCACTTTCCGAGCACATCATAGCGTTGGCCAAGTGCGAAATTCTCCTTCATCTGAAACAACGGCATAGTAGCCCACTTCGCGAATCCCGACCAAGCCTTGTAGATGGCCCTGCATACCACGAAAGCCATATACGAAAGAGCGACCATGTTGGCGTCAATGCAATGGGCATTTCGCTTCCCTGAGTAGTAGGATGGCTGCATGGCGGTACGTGCGAGTTGTAGTTCAGGATCGATGTTCAAAGACTGGCCGGCGATGAGGACGGGACGGCGTTCCTGTGCAACTGCATCTGGTACTGCGTCATCAAAGTCCTCGCCTGGCTCTGTGTCCATTTCTTCATCAGGTTCCTGTTCTGGATCGTCCTCCGCGATGACAGATGGTTCTGGGATTTCCTCAGGTTCCGCAACGGTCTCTACATCCATGGCTTCCTGCTCCTCTTCGGGCGCCTCAGGCACTGCTGCTGCCGCGGCTTCCATTGTCTGAGCAATGAAGTCACTGGGGATCTCCGTAGGAGTCTCCCGTTGTGGAGAACCTTGGTAATATCCGCTAGAAACGAACTGTGACCATCAAGACGTGCATCGGGAGAAGCATGCTGGAACGATGTTGTAGCATGCCGGGCACACCCTCATTCTCCTTCCATCCTCGTCTCTGCGTAGGTCTTCGGGTCGCCAATTCTTGGTGACAAACTTGATCCCTTTGTCCATGTAGTGATGCCGAACCGTGTTCTCCCTGTGGGACTCCAGGACAGTCGTAAGGTCTCGGATGATCTGCTCCTTGCTGGTGTCGTGGGGTCCAGGAGGCATCTCGCAAAGCAATTCCATGATCTTGCTCGGCGTTCGGTATCTCTCGAACTCAGGGAGCAATGGTGATGCATTGTAGTCCAACACCAGCTCTTTCTCCAATCGTTCATCGTAGATCTTTTCCACCAGAGCGAAAGAGTGTGTATCTTGAGGAGCCGGGACGCAAAACCATACCTCCTTGACGAAATGGAACGGTATCGTCCGGCCAACGATCATGATGCCGCTGTCTGTGATACGTCCATCTTCTCGTGCAAGGTCCTGCGATGGGACATGGAGGACCGCCAGTGGCATGTGCTTGGCATCTCGTCCATGCACCCGCATCTTGGTCGTCGCGTTCCGGTGATCGAATGGTGCAAACACCCCCCAATAGCTGTGGAGTCTGCCACCTTGGTTGCCTCGAAATTGGCGCCTATGGTCGAAGTCCCCGTCGGGGTCCTCCGAACCAGGCATGATGCCTTGCGTGACAAGGGAATCCAAGTTGCGGCATGCCGTAGCGTGGAACGCGCCTCCAAGACGTTGCAAGAGGGTCATAGATGGAGATATTGCGAACCTGTTCTTGTCCAACTGAAGCAAATTGTTCTGGGGATCTGAGTGCGCAGAGTGACCACTTGTAGCCCGAACTCATTCATGAGCCTAGGGGTACTTCTCAGCAGGGGTACTTCTCAGCCACTACCGAAGATTTAAGAAGATTGTTGAATTATTTGGAAGATTGTTGAAGAAAAACGAATTATTTAGAAGATTGTTGAAGAAAAATGAATTATTTGGAAGATTAT